ATTTCGCAAAATCGCCACATCCTCGCGACTTGGCGATTTGCCAGATGTCTAGAGATTAAGCATACGAGGCTCTCAGATGCATGGGTGCGTAGATTTCGTAAACTGTAACAAACACAGCAAGTCTGGCCCAAGCAAAGTGCGTTGACGACCAGCTATGGAGAGTCGTTGCAGTGCCAAATCGCGTGAGGTATGCCTTAGGCCTAAAGTAATATGAACTAACCACAGTTTTCGGCATCAAAGCCCTCTCATCGTACATTACCGTATCTTTACAGTAAACTGCCGTTAAAACCAATAAAATCACTGTCATAATGAGCACAATATAATCTACCCACACAATATCTCAAGCAGAGATACGGTAAACTGACCTTGAACGTTATACATACCCTTTCCTTCAACCAGATCGGCTGCTGGGACGAGGGGCTTCACATGACCCAAAAGGCGACTGCTCGCGTCCGCGACGCAGTTTGCAAACACTTCAAACTCTCCCTCGCAAACATGCTTTCTAATCATTTTCTAGCCCTAATTAGGTCACGGAGCTCCGCCTTTCAGCTGCCGATCTGGTTGAAACAAAGGTACGTACGTTCGTACCTCGAGTCCAATATAACAGAGGTGTGCCGCGTCAAGCTAAGTTGAATGGCGAGGTATGCGACGTTATCTTCAAGCCAGGGTTTAGCTTAGGTGGCTTAAAGGCAGCGTCCGGACAAAATTGACCTACCTCAGATGCTGTCACATTTCGACAGCGTCCCCCTCAACTAAGACAAAACAGCAAGTCCGCCCCGAAAATGTGAATTCTGAAAGTCAGGTGAGCGGGTCAAGTGCCGCTCCCCTTCCTCCTTCCGCTCCCCTTACGCCTACGAAGACGAGCTTACATGTTTGACGCGCCCCTTTGACGTGTCGTTACACGCAGTGTTTCTACCTTTGACACATGTTTTCACGTGTCACTACACCAGATAAATTTCGGAACACTCGTCCGCGATTATTGAAATAGGGTTCCAGAAACGGGGGTTTTGGAGATTTCAAGCAATTCTCGGTTCGGATTTAGATTCAGGGGCGTCGCAAAAGCAAGAAACGCTAGAAACATGGAAGTCGAGGTTTTGCCCGGACGCTGCCTTTAAGGGCAGACTTTGTTTCGCTGCAAGGACAAAAAACAAAAAAGATATGCGTGTCTGCAGTTTTTGGGGTAGGGCCCAGTAAAATATGGTGATTTACATCGGAAGCAAACTCCAAGCAAGAAATTGTCAGTCCAAACATTTTCACAGATTCGAACGAGAAAACAGAGCCACATATTTGCTCCAACAAAACTGGCGCAGCTCGAAACTGAGAGGAAAAACTATGTATGAAAGATATAAGAAAGTTATGTAATTAAGAGTGTGGCAAACGTTTTCTTACTCATGTGACTTTTGAGCCACTTCAACAAACCTCGAAAGCGAAGTCATAAGTTTCTCCTCTTCAAACACTTTTTCGCTCTCTCCTTTGATCTACATAACCGTACAGACTAGTTTTTGAAGCGTCTCAAATTCCCTGCTCTCCGCTTGGTCACAGTTCCCCGAAGTTGAGTGGTAGCAGTAGGCTAATGATGGCGCGCACTTCACATTATGCCGCCAAACATACAAACAAACAAACATCATTTTTTCATACCAAAGAAAAGTGTTTTTAACTTTTTTTGCTATTTTCCTATTCGTTTCTGTTCGTGAAAAATAAAAGGGCGTGTCATAGTGTTGCGAATTCAATGGGCCATCGTTTTCATAGAAATGTTGAAGCCATAGTGTGCCGGGCCTTGCATCGATCGCCCACAATATCGTCGAGCAAAGAACATTCTTGGCAAAACTTATAAGCAGTATTGTACATGAGATATACCTAAAAAACACACACACACATCCTAAAGCATGCCCAACTATCGTTGAGTGCTCAGCAACAAACATAATGTACGAAAAAATTATCGCATAACGATAACAGTGCTCAGCTTCCTAAAAAGCCCTTCTTACATCAGGGTGCATTGGGTGTTGTTGTGCTACCAAGGCAACTTTTGTAAAAGTAATTTTGTGACTGGCTGAATGCATTCTGCTAAACGAATCAATCTTATATGGAATTTATCTCCGAAAAACCTAAATTTTGTGTTGTATAGCCCGCAACACCACAGTCGCGAGTGTATAAGTGTCTACGTCAAGCCATCTATTTTTAATACCATGCACTTTGGTTTATTGATGTGACAAAAGTCTAATTTTGATGTTTCGATCACATTTCGGACCGATTCTCAAATTATTGAGCTGATTGTGAAGTAGATTATGTGCAATTACGCAGTCACTAGATCTGGATGCGTATTTAGCTTTTGTTGCACCATTTTTGCATAACGCTATCCGCGCCCAATATAATTTTCTCACAAGGGAAGCGTGTGTAGTCGAAGCATCCTTTTCAGATGCGACCCATACTGCTTTGAAGAGCATTGAGCGTTGATTTCAAATCTGCCTTCCAAATCTGCCAAGCGTCTCTGGACGCCGAGTTATGGGCGTTTTTCAGGTCAAAAAATTGAACGCAAAACTGGAACAAAATCGCCCAAATTTGCTCAAATGGTCCAGTGTCAAGTAGCAGAGCCCTTGATGCAATGGATACATTTCGTTCAGTATGCTAGTACTTAACATTGCTTTATCAAAGCGCTGGAAAGATTGTAACAATCAATTTTACCTAAATTCTGCATTCATTTTTCGTTCCGAAGAACGGTCATAACTCGGCGTCCAGAGGCGCTTGGCAGATTTAGAAGGCAAATTTGGAATCTGTGCAATACTTTTCAAAACAGTGTTGGTCCCATCTGAAAAAGCCACTTCGACTGTACGCTTCCCTTGTCAGCTTCTTCGTTTTCTTATAGTTATCTCATACGCAGAGGGTTATCAGAGTATCACGATTTGCGGCTATCTTGGTCTCCATAGCAATAAAATTTTGTTTTTTTTACTCATCGTTCCTTTATCAGTCATCTGTCTCTTGATTTCTTTATTAAATGTACGTGCTACTTGAAAAGCTATGTATCAATCCTATAACGAATTCCATAGTCCGTTTTTTACAAATGACACATTTCCCCTTTTCTCGGTACTTTTCCATTATCCGGACCCATTTTTTCCGAAGAAGAATATTGCTTCCTCCCTTGAAAGATATAGTTCTTGATTTTATAGGAAGGAGTGTCAACCTTCTGCAACGTGTTAGAAAAATTTGACATGCCATCTACATGTTTAACAGGTTTTACCAAGGATTACAGCCCTAAAGATGTGAATAATTGTGAATTCAATCTCTCTAATAGACAATAATAAACCCATTTTCGGCTGAGCAATTTCATAAATGGAGATTTTAGTATTAGCATCTTATTACCATTGAGCAGATTAGACTTGCCCAGAGTAGAGAAGTACGCTAGGGTATCACCATCGACGTAGCAAGCAACAGCGAGGTGCTCCAAACCATCATTGGTCTTTCCTGACCAAATATGCATGGCGGAAAGAGTTTGGCGAGAAAGGCAGTTTTGCATGATAGCTGAAGGCAATTAAGCTGTTGCAATACAAGTTCTAGATTGTATTAATCTTATCTTATTAATCTTATCAATTAAACAGCTTTGAGGTATCACAAAGAATTTTTATCTTACCGGGAATGATTTCGAAGAAACATGTTAAAGTGGAACAAAATGTGCCAAAATTTTTCTGAAACGTGGTAGGCGGACAAGTACTCTTAGAATCCATGCAAAATTGTTTTTTGCTAGAGAACATAATTTATGACAGCTTCTTGGAAAAATGGGTCCGGATAATGGAAAATTACCGTTTTTTTCTTTCCTTAGTTTTAAACTTCGCCTGCATTCATCTCTTTGCTTTTATGAATTTATGATGAACCTACTATATCATGCCGACCGAATTCATGCCTTTGCAAAACAAAATAATCTTTACTTTTGCGTTAACCGGACCCATTTTTTTCAGAAAAGGATATTGCTTCTTTTGCTGTACCAACTTCGGCCATGACTTTACAGGAATGAGTGTTAACTTCCTGGCACGTGTCAAAAAAAATTCGCAAATGTTACTGTTTAACACGTTTTACCGAGAGTTTGTTCGCCCTACCAGAAGGGCATAATCAATCTTTTATTAATCAATAACGACCACATTTTTTTCACCACTTTACAAAATGAACATTAGTATAGTAACATACTGTATTCAACGAACACATTAGATTTCCCTGAAACAAGAGAGTGGCCTACCACGTGTTTTGAACCCCATCATCTATACTTTTTCTCAAGTAAATTCGCATGGCGGGAGTTTTTAGAAATAAAAATACTTTTGAATTATTGCTGAATGCGCCCAAGATGTTTTGATATACGTTTTTGATTGTTTCGCTTTTATAAATAACCAATGTATCACTTATGCCTCGCAGATGCTCGCACTGGTTCTATTATCGTTTCTCGTGGTCGGATTTTGTGACCAAGTCGATGTGCAATGCTAAATATAGAAACAGCGGCAGAAATTGGAATGGCGGGCGTCCGCTTTGCAATAGTTCGGCCGTATCGCAACAACAGTATGTCATGTCGTGCTTTTGCTAGGAATTAATGTGCGTCTTTTCATTCTCTTCGATGTCTGGCCGGCAAATGTCAGCGCTGGTGGTCGCAAAATTTCTAGCGAAGCGCCGCACCAGAACGCTTTGGTCAAAAGGCACTGTATAAGACAGCGTAAATCTAGCACAAAATAAAGACACCTATACTGTGACACCGTTTAACCTGCTCTATGAATAACCAAGAAGTTATCTGCCAAATTCTTCCGATATCCCACAGCAGAAGTTTTCTGACGTTTTAGAAAAAACTGAAAAGGAGCTGATTTGCAATGTCAATATGTTGCGGTGGAGGTTAATACCCATATTAATGAGAAAAGTCGATCAACTCTTTTCGTACTGTAGATGTCAGTGCTACCCCTATAATATGCTCCTCAATGCGCCGAAGCTGTTCAGAAACTTATCAGCGATTAAACGTTTGATACATTTCTTGAGACACTAATACGCAATTGCGTTTGCCTATGTTATTTTGAAATCAGAATGCGGTTCATACCGTACATTTTCCTCCTGGGCATGGTCACAGGCGAAGATGTTCGCTTTGATTGTCATCCAGAACCTGACGCTAGCGAGGTAGTGTGTAAAAGGAGACGTTGCATTTGGAAAGAGGACAATGCTACGGTTTGTTGCTTATTATTGAAATTAACAACATTCACGCAGCTTACTTAAATTTTTTTGCAGGAAGGTATACCGTACTGCTACATGCAACCCAAAATCGGTTATAAGTTTCTGAATAAAATAAGTGATGTGAGTAGAAATCATTTCCACTTTTCTGAGACTTCCTAACCGTAATTTAGGTGATAACACTCACCAAGAGCGGGGGATTAGAGAATCCGTGGGATAAAGATATCAAGGAGATATATTTTGCTTCAAAATACATTGGCAAAACCCTTAATGTTAAAATTTACGTTCCTGAAAGGTGAAGTTTTTATGAATTTTTGATGTTTGTCAGTTTATATCATCTCATTCAGATACGAGCCACCACTTGATCTGCCCAACAGTGTATCTGAGTCAAATGAAGAGTTAGAGGTAGTGAGGTTGAAATTTGCAGAAGCGTGGACAGAGTATTAACTTGTTATAGCTTACCACATATGACGAGGATGATCCATTTTACTTCACAGTCACTCGTAAATCCACACAAACGAAGTTGTGGGATACTTCATTGGGTGCGTGACATTCTCCTGCATTTTATTTTCAAAATAATTCAAAATGATGCCAGTTTCAAAAGTCCTAAAATATTACTATTTACCAACTGCTTCTTTTGGAGCACCAGGGAGCTCCGAGAAGAAGTTATTCCTTAACCCTTCAGAAAAATTAATATATGCTACCTATGGGAGGGGTTTATAAAGAAGAAGAAGCTACAAGAAAATAGAACGGCCCCGAAACAAACACCTAACATGTGTTGTCAAATAGAAGTAAGAAATATCTCTGTCTTCAAAAGGTAATTATTTTCTAAGCTTGAAACAATTAAATATCAGTTTCGTTAGTGCCCTATGCGAATTGATATGCAATAAAAGGCTGATTGAAGCTAGCTAATTTATTAACGCCATGAGGGTACATATGTGGAGCTGGGTTTACGAGTAAATTTATAGATAAAGACAGTGATGATATCATCCTTTGACTGTCAATGGAAGTTTTTCACACTATGGTTCGAACTTCAAATGAAATTATCAAACAAAAAGAAAATAGTGCGATTACTGTTTTCAGGCGGTCTAATCTTTTGCAATCAATTTATACAAATTGCAACAAAACTGCCATCGGAGGAAATGTATGGATGGGGCGAAAATACCCATGCAACGCTAAAAGTCGGAATAAGAACATAAAAAAATCAGTCAGCTTCCAAAAAAGTAGTCATTTCAGCATAGATTTGATCGTTACACCACTTGGGCATTGTTTGCGAGAGACGAATGGCCTTATTCGGAAGAATTAACCACTAAGAATCTCTATGGTAATTGTCTTGGGTTAGACAACTTTCTGAATAAATAACTACGTGTCGATAAATTTTCAAAAAATAGGTGTACATCCGTTCTACATGATGTTGGAAGAAGACGGAAAGGCACATGGTGTCTTTATACTCAACAGCAATGCACAGGTACATGTAACATACTTAAGCACTGGAACGAATGATAGTAGGAATAGACTTGGAATATGAATGATATTTAGCATCATAATAATGTTATGAAATTAAGAAATCACATAGTTTTCAAACAAATTTGCTACAAAATTTGTGAGAAATTGTTAATAAATATTAGGTTGTCCGGAAATTAATGTCCGTTTTGAATTTCAGCCGCAACAAGTCATAAACCTTTCATTCCTGAATAGCTTTCAGGATACCGTTCGATAGAGCAAAGCAAGCTCTACAAGATGACTATCTTGCTTTAACAACAGCTCTGATCCACCTCGAGTTTCGAGCCAAAAACTAAAAAGATTCAACTACCCAAAAAATCGAGAAAAATCATAATTCAGTTCATAAGAATCCTGCAAAAATTCAAACTTGCTCACGTAAACACTATCCACATAAGACACATATGTACGCCATTGCCGTATTTTTTCCTCTGTTAGAAATCGAGACAACGAAAATGTTCATGCTTTTGCCAAAGTGATGCTGTGTCATCCCCACATAAGTAGATGTGTATACAAATCTGTAGAAGTACAAGCGTAAATTTTCAGCTCCCTATAAGCTTTAGTTCTCGAGAAATTTGAATTTTAGTTTGGACCACTTGACTAATGAAAGCTGTATTCGATATTTCTCGGGAACTAAAGCTTGTAGAGAGCTGAAAATTTACGCTTGTACTTCTACAGATTTGTAGTACACATCTACTTATGTGGGGACGACACAGCATCACTTTGGCAAAAGCTTGAACATTTTCGTTTTTTCGATTTCTAACAGAGGAAAGTATAGGCGTACATCAGTGGCGTACCCAGGATTTCGGTTCGGGGGGGGGGGGACGCGACAAAAAATTTTTTCGAGTCAAGGGGCGTGGCGTTAGCCACGCCCTCCGAAAATTTTTTTTGAGTGGTTCCCAAAATTTTTCCGGGCCTCTGACCCCAAAATTTCAGAAAAAGGGGGCGTGGCGTCAGCCACGCCCCCGAAAAAAATTTTTTTTATAAGGCTAATTTGAATTTTTAAAATTTTTTAAAAATTATTTTAATCATTTACAAGTATAAACAAGTCACATGCACATCTTTATAACCCATATAAATAACTTTCAAAAATTTCGCGACCCATTCTCGGGGGGGGGGGGGCGCGCGCCCCCCCCCCCCGCCCCCCCCCCTCGGTACGCCACTGGCGTACATATATCGTTCATTCGTTGACCGTACGGACTGCCGACCGCGTGGCGACTGCGACGCGTGCCTTCTAAACTTGCGAAAAAGTGACAAGTTGGACCGTGGCTTAAGATGAGAAGAATTCTTTGTTTCTTTTCTACATTATAAAGATGAGAAGAATCCTCTGTTTTCTTTCTATTCATCTTTTCTACGAAAACATCATGCACGCGCAGCGGTCGCCGCGCGGTCAGCAGTCGTTACGGTCAACGAATAAACGATATGTCTTATGTGGATAGTGTTTACGTGAGCAAGTTAGAATTTCTGTAGAATTCTTACAAACTGAATTATGATTTTTCTTGATTTTTCGGGCAGTTGAATCTTTTTGGTTTTCGGCTCGAAAGTCGAGATGGATCAGAGCTGTGGCTAAAGCGAAATTGCCATCTTGTAGAGCTTGCTTTGCTCTATCAAATGGTACCTTGAAAGCTATTCAGGAGTGAAAAGTGTATGACTTGTTGCTGTTGAAATTCAAAACGGACAGTAATTTCCGGACAACCTAATATATTAATCTTTTGAAATTTAAGGAAATTGTTACGGCACCTGGACCTTCACTAATCCACCGCACTATCGGCGGTAATTTGGACATGTACTTCTTCCCAGGTCCTACTCCAGAGGAAGTAACTCAGCAGTATTTAGCCTTAATAGGTAAACCAAATTTACCAGCTTATTGGGGCCTTGGCTTTCAGGCAAGCGTCACATCTATCAAATGTTTGACGTCCAATGATGTAATGTTATAGATCTCTCGATGGGGTTACGAAAAATTCACAGATTTGAAAAATGTAGTCGAAAGGAACATTCAAGCAGGAGTACCTTTTGATACGGTTGTAGGAGACATTGATTACATGGATCGACGCAAAGACTTCACGATTGGGAAGGTTCGAACTTTCGGATAAAAATATGATTTGAATCTCGGTTTTGTTTGGGATTGGCAAGAGTTTCCTGCTTATGTTGACCAACTGCACAATCGTGGAATGCGTGTGGTGTTGATGTTTGATCCAGCAGTTCAAGTAAATTATGAACCATTCGAAAGAGCAATGACAGCAGTGAGTTTCGAGTGTTCTGTTGTCTCTTAGTTCACCTCACTGAAAATGTTTTAGAAGGCAAAATTTGTTGAGTGGGAACGCCAGGACCAAGTGATGACCTCGATTAATGTTAGAGGTGTATTACAGTACAGCCTGCCAGAAAGGTTTAAAATTATTTTTAGAGCTTGTACCCTCTGGTGAATGGAACAAGAATTATGCTCGGTCTCGTGTGGCCTGACAACCATACTGCTTTCCCCGATTTCCTTGATCCCAGCGGCAATACTGAGAAATGGTGGATTGACGAATTGGTCAGATTCAAACAGGAGGTCCGTTTCAACTTTGCAAAAGCTGAATGTGGGATACCTTTTTTTTGAAATCGCAGGCTTAATCGACCATGTTGTCTTAGATCCAGAGCATACTTCCCACAATCCCATCAAATCGCTACATCAACGTGACTTGACGATTTGTCAGATGTCCACAAATTTACCGTGCGGTTTCAAATGCATAGGCAGCGGCTTCCGCGAGTTGATGCAAAAGCATGAAATTTGGCCCAAGTAAAGCGCGTTTACGACCATTTACAAAGAGTCGTTGCAGTGCCACATTCCTCAGCAACGAAATCACTTGAGGTATGCTTTGATACTTACTGCAAACTGTAAATTGATCTATTCACTTGTTAGATCACTTGTGAGGGTTCTCCTGAGCTTTATTCACACCCTTAACATGCCGTTTCATAGCATTTTCGCGTAGGTTCAAAAAAATCATTGGGAAGTCATCAGCTTCAGATACAATGATAACGATATACATCTGTGAGAAAATATTTGCTGCTTTTCTATGAGAGACGCTTGCAGCGTCATCTTGTATTTGGAATATTCTAGGTAAACCTATTTCTTAAAGATTGATTATGATGGCATTTGGATTGATATGAATGAGCCGGCAAACTTTGAAACAAACGGAAACGAATGGTGGTCTCTAAGGTGTCCAACGGATGAAGGCACTATAGATGCTCGTTGGGACATGCCCCCGTATAAAACTCACAATGTGTGGGTATTTGGCAAGGTGCGTGATTTATGCGTGAAAGTAGATATCTATACAGTTGGTATGGTGAGAGGTACTAACAATGATAATCACTAAACTGGCGTATACTGAAATCGTTAAAATTCCGTCATACGTAGGGTATGGCAGACTTTACACACCATGAGTTCGCAAATGCACAAATGTCAAACAGATTTACGACAGTTTCAAGATCATATTCAAATTTTCAATTTTTCTCCGATTTTTTTACTTTGCGTCTATTCGTCCTTTCCTCATCTAATTTTCAAAATTATTCAGGCGTCTTTTCTATTTGGGCACTTTGACGCCCCACTTTCAAAAACAAGAGCAGAATAATTTTCGTTTTTCTTGCGCAATACAGCTTGGTATAGATGATATATATCTTATTGCCTGACGTTTCGGCTTGACGCCGTCTTCAGAGGAAAAGGCGTCAGTCACCTGATACACCTGCTTGGCTGTCAAACATCTACCCAAACTTGTGCAAAACAATTATAAGGGTAGAGGTATGAGTACTGGAGCAAAGTTTACGCACCAAGTATATCACCGTTGTTATTGCTTGCAGCCGCTCGAAGTGTCGACCGAGTGCGATGTCAAACTGAGCAGTCAGGGCACTACAACACCGCTTAAGTACAACACACAATCTTATAGATTATTACAGTACGATAGATACGGCATCAAGTCAATATTGTAGACAACTTCTCATTCTTCCCATTCAGTTTGAGATCACAGGCCAACGCTTTTCGAGCAGAAATCTGCAAAGCAAAAGGCTCCTCCATCTACCATTTATGGACGATGGTAGAGAAGCTGGTATGCACGAAAAATTTCTTAGTAGACTGAAATTGGAAACATCTAATTGCCCTGTGTTTTACAGTTTGATCAAGAAGCATAAAATTTTACGACCGAAATGCAATTCGCATTCGCAGTACCATATAGTAAGTTAGTCGACAGTTGTACAAACGCGTCAGGCGATCGCATATCGTGTCCTCGCAAAAACTGTGCCCAATTCTGAAATGAAACATTCGCTCATTTGAGAAATGCTATTTTCTTCTCTGAGCATTTGCGTCGAATCAATTTCAGCTCGAACTGCGCAAACAAGTCGTTTGATGTTGCATCATTATATACAAATGTAGCTAATGAAAGGGCCTTAGAAGCCTTATCTAAGCTACTCGAATTATATGGCAAACTCATGTCAACAGATGCTCTCAGTAAAACGCGCAACATGAGCTTACTACGGAATGTAGATTGCATTATTATCAAATAATCTGGCAAATGCTATGCACAGATTAGAGGGCTAGCAATGGGCCAGCGATTAGCACCTGTTTTAGCCATTTGCTTCATGAGCAAAATGAAAAAAACCAATGCCTTCAGAGGCCCGCTTATGATTGTGTTATATCAACCACTGTTGTATCGTCACTAGTATAAGTCTTAAATGGACGAATGTTTCAGATTGCTAGATCATCAGTCCCAATACATAAGATTTACGAGCAAAAAACACGATGGCTGGCTACCGTTTTTGAATACGCAGCTAAAGTTGGTCAATGGAGTGGTTCAAGTGTGGTGTTGCAAAGAAAATAACAAAAAATCATGTCGAACACAAACTCCGCACACCCAGAAGTGTCAAACGTGCCATCGTTCGCAATATGCACAAAAGAAGGGCCCGTAGCAATCCCCTTCTGGTCAACATAAATGAACTATACGTGACAAGTCGAAATTTCTCGCAAGATTATAGCGAACGAGCCATGCAAGGAAGCCGCATTACTAGCGCCTCCGCGCACAGTCGAATCTTGGTAACACCGTTCAACATGCTGCGCTACGAAATCATCCGCGCATTCGCCTGGTAAGGCAAGAATGTAGCATGCTATGCCAGAGCAGGTAAATTAATCGAAAGGAATTCAATGACTGACTATCCTCGCATGAGCACCTCTATTTCTCCATTTTTTATCTCGTTATCTCATTGTTTGAATCAGTAACATTAGTAAAAGCACGATGACCTATGTCCATTACAAAACGGTGCTTAACATTAAAAGGCAACTAATATATCTCCGTAATTAGTTTTTTCGTAGACAAGCTGCCAAAAGTGAAGGCTTTTTTCGCCGCGCACGAATTCGCGGTCTGAAGCGTGTTAGATGTTAACGCTCGGCAATAGCCCATTTTGAAATAACCGCTCAAACAAAGATGTGTAGACATGAGTGTATCATTTCCTCATAACCGTTAAATATTATGGACTGTGCCCTGTGCGATTACTCCCCTGTGAGCACAACACAAGTTGAATATAAAGGTTTTTTGCGCACAGATCGCGATTTGACCCTGCCGATAAGTAGACATTTATACCTTGTCTACAGGCTGTCAATAGGTTCTTCAAAAAAACTCTAAGAATTGAGGATTGACATTCAATGTGTAGCGGAAATTATTCAAAATAATAGTTTTGTGCTTACTAAAGCAAATCAACCTTGCATTTCTAGAACGCGTACTTGGCTACAAAAACTTTATGTATGTCAGCAGTGCAAGCCAATGGAACTCTCCGTCACTACGATGTCAAGAATCTCTATGGCTGGAGTGAATCGAAGATAACACAAAAGGGGCAATATGAAGCTGTAGGAAAGAGGGGAATTGTGATATCAAGGTGAAACATTTTTTGCAGTATACTATTGAGCTATAGAATGCAACTGCGATAGGTGTGGATAAAGAAAGAGTGGGAGTGGCCCTGCAAGCATGATTTCAAGTATTTCCGAAAACGCAGTCCCCTACGATGCAAAAATCTACGAAGCCATTCATGAAATATCATGAGAGGATGGAGACTACAACAACGAAATACAACAAGGTGTACAAAATCTTAGCAAAAAAAGCAAAAACATTACTTCCTTATCTAGGTAACAAAAAAGCATTTGTAGCAATGAGGTTTCTCTGTTGCGCCCTGCTGCAAGAAAGCGTGCTTAGAAAACATAGGTGACTGGAAATCTATCTTTTGATTGGGCCAGACTGCGCGGGGTGGCGGCGTATGCGATGTCCACAGGGTACTCGCTATATCTTACTATAATATCATGTAGTAACTGCCAAAGCGATGCGACGAGGATACTCTCTTCCCCCATATGCTTTACTGTTGTGCTATGTGTTCTCTTACAGTGTTAACAGCAGATTCGCGACAGCGAAAGCAGTCCAGATTATGCGGCGACGGAGTAGAGCCGTGTCTTTCGAATTACTGAGGATGCGCAGAGAAAGCTTCACCCTATCGCGAAAGTTGCGGGCATAATATTTGCGTTTCCAGAGCTACAGACCGGTGAGTTTTTAGAGAGTCATAAAAGCTGCACTTTTTTGGCGCATTCACTAAGGATTCATATGGTTTGCATAACAGTGTTGTCGGTGTTTGTAGTCAGTTTCCAGACTGTGTGAACTTTGAAGGCAATTCTCTCGGCAAAATCAAACATCTCAAAAATTTGATACGGAAGGTTGCTTGCATTCCATACTTCAGAACAGAGCGCACTACATGCTGCCCCTACCTAGAAAACTGCCTCCAAACACGTGCGCGCAAGCCATTCTTACAAGCGCTCGGGCGAGCTTGCAGTCCCCCTCCCACCGTCAGAAGCGGCATGCTGCAATGTTATAAACATAAGGGTCCTGGAACGACTCTACGTCTCTAACCATGGCGGGGAGTGGTTCACTCGTCCAAGTTAAAAATAGAAAATGCTGGCTCTTGACATTTTCGTGCACTTCAAGGTGGGTCAGCGCGTCGAATTACTCTGGCTAGGTGGAAAAACTTCAGGTGGTAGATTTGCCGAGCCACTGCCTGTAAGTGCAAATCATCTTGCTCTGCATAGAAGTGCAAATATGGGCAGTGTCGGCAAATCGTCAAAGATTACTTCCTCAGTTCCAAAGAACATGAAACAAGGGATCAAGTGCGTGTCATATACAAAGCTCAAACAATAACGTTGCGCAACATTGATTCCAGATTACCAAATTAGTGCGAATGTGTGGCCCCCGTTGCTATGATAACTTGGAAATTGCCGCTTTGGCTTCTTATCTGCCTAATGCTTCTTGCAGGTAGAATTAGTTTTCGGGGAGAACGTCATGATTTTAGAAGCAATGTGTAGTTTAGTTGAAAATAGGATGATAAAATCTATCAATTTAACGGGTCGCTGAAGTTCCACTTCTGGGTGCTTTTACTTTGCGAAAATACTGCTTTTTCCTCCGGAAATAAAAAACAGAGGGAGCCACGTTTTGTTGGAAGAAAAGAATCAATTACTTGATGCAGCAGTACATTTTGCTAAACTTCTGTGATTCAATGAATTTCACAAAAACCTCTTACAAACTTACTAATGGGTACTTCTACATTGTGAAAATATTGTTTTTGCTTCTAAAGGCCAACGAGCAGAGGGAGCTCGGTCTGCTGGAAGGAAAGACCTAAGACTCCACATGGGAACAATTTTGCCAACTAGATTTCAATGTCAAATATCACGGAAACTCGCTGAACATTCGTTTTTGACTACTTTTACTTTGTGAAAATCCTACTTTATAAAAAACAACACAGCAGAGGGAGCTTGTCTCAAGGGAAGAAAGGACTCAGTGACATGCGGCAGGACATCTCTGATATGATTCTTTAGGTTTTAGAGCTGAATCTCACAAGAATTTGCTTGAAATCAGCTTTGGCCGCCTCTACTTTGCGAAAATCATTTTTTTGCTTTAGAAAGCAAAGAAAGGAATTAGAGCTTGGTCTCGAAGGTGCTAAGGAATTTCTCATCAACGCTAGATTATACAAAAGCTCGCGAAATCCAATTTTGGCCGCTTCTACTTCGCAAAAAAAATCGTACTTCTGCTCCTAAAAGCAGAAGAAGCAAGGGGAGCTTGGCCTTAGGGGAAGGAAGACCCAGAGGCCTCATGCGGCAAAACACTTTTTGTTAAGACTGTTCAAGAGAAAGCTTTGAGCTAGCTTTGGCTTCGCTTTAAGGAATGACATTTTCTTCGCAAGGGATTATAAAAAGAGTATAGGACTGTGCGTGATCGCGAAAGTTGGCGTGTTTGTAGCCGTTGCACAGCCTGAGTGTGAGCCTAAGTTTCGGGTTGAACCAGCTGTGCTACATAAATGACTGCTGAGGTGATTCCCATGTTTAGAAGCTGTGGTTGGGATAAGTATGCAAGAAGAACAGCGCAATCAATTTGAAATCCACCACTTGTCAAAAATTTCTTTGAGAGTATGATCTTGCTTCTACTTCTACTTACATTGCGCCAAAGGTAGTTGACAAAATGGAAATTCAGTTCCTTGCTGTTCTCAGTTGCACGCAACAGCTATCAATGTATCTGCCCCAACCCACCTACTAGCGACCCGTAGGGTCACTATATTATATATGCACCGAAGCGTAGGTGCGTAGTTGCGTACGCTATGCTTACAGCGCAGTCTAACCCAACCCTCCCTGCTCAATTGTGTACAATGTGATATTCACTGCGATAATCCTAACACTTAATGGTCTGTATGCGATCCAAAAAAAAGATGAGAACAACTTCTATCATATAAAGCAGCCATGAGAGGCAGCAAGTGATGAGTGATACATCATTCCAAGCCAAATTGTTTTTTTTTCTCTTTGTTTGGTGCCCATGTGCGTGTAAGTAAGTAAGTTAATCCTTTGCTTTGATTTCTTTTTATGATAGATGCTTGAGCGCCCCAACAGTCAAGCCAAAAAGTACAAAACTTACGTGAAATTTCAAATTTTTTAAAATCCAGTATTTGGTAATCTACGAAAGCGGGTATTACTACGCGTAGGTTTTCGAGGTAAAAGTGCTATTGGGAACAATATTTGATGTCATATAATCAAATTGCGTTGTAAGCGTCTTCTCTTCAGCGCTACTTTAAATTTCGCGCGCTTGTGAAAAAGAACAAGTTGGAGTATGCTGGTCATGTAAGATTGGTGATGAAGCAAATAAGCATGCTGAAGGCTTAGGTATGCATGTATGTTCAACATGCTTTACAACATCCCTTTTACTATTTGACCTAAAACTAAAAATAGTTGATCTCAATACATCCATACTATGCCCTGGGGAGAGAATGTCAATAGATGCGTATTTCGCTTCACCAGATGGACAAATAGTAAATGTAGGATAATGATAGAAGTACAGTGAACTTTAAGGTATTTAGTCAGTATATTGGTCATATTTTCTTATTATTTCACGAGATACTCCAACAATTAAGATTAGAAGCAAATAATTAGTGCTTGATGCCATGTAAACCAAATTTGCTGAACTAGACCGAAATTGGCATAATACGCGTTCACATCGGCATTTTTTCGCCGCAGAAATTGATGCTCAGAACTGTTTGGTAACTATTCACTTTCCTCGCTACCTTTCGCAATGCTTCGCACGCTAAACGCAAAGCTCTAGTTCTACTCAGACAGCCGCGGTAGCTGGGCACCGGAAAAACAGATAGTTGAACTCTCTTCGCGCTCGTAGTATCCCATTTGGCCACGAACTTTTGCGAGGCCGCGCTTGTTGTTTTTTCGCATCGATCAACAGCGATCTGAGCGAAAAAGGATCTAAAAATCAAGTGGCGTGCGGAAAGACAGTAACGTGCATTCTCCGGTGCCCGCCTGCCCCCGGCAACTGTCAGAGTACTAGCGCGCGCTTTCACGCCAACGTTTTCGACCTAATTCCGAATACATACTTTACTAATCAAAGCGATAGCCGATTGCATGCAGCGAAATTGATATGTTAATTCTATTGAGTGAAACAACCATTTCTGGTAGAAAATCAGCAGCCAAGTGAGACTTTTCAGATCCACGTTTGCCTCAAGTGGGCGCTACTGTGGCCACTGGCTTGGCGATAATTCAGCAACATGGGATGATCTACGCTCAGCCGTAATTGGAGCTCAGGAGTTTAATCTATTTGGCATACCGTATGTTCAGCAAATTGGCTTGATACGGCCCATAGAAGTATAAGTATACGATGAGCACAAACCTATTTTAGATATATCGGTTCTGATATCTGCGGTTTTAACCGACCAACCGAAGAGGAGCTATGCCTCAGATGGCATCAAATGGGAGCCTTCCATACATTCATGAGGTTACTTATGGTTCCGCAAACTAGAGAACAAACCAAATCACAGTTTTATCACCTAATTTATGCTTTAGAAATCATAATTCTCTCGACATGCCACCGCAAGATCCGGCAAATTGGGCAAGTGTAGCAGAAGCAACCAAAAAAGCCACTCTTTTCCGTTACAGCTACCTACCCTATCTATATAGGTAAATGGGAAATTCAAATAATTTGATATGCTGCGGCTAGTGTGATTTCAGTTTACACTTTGAAGCTTCTATAAATGGCGGAACCGTCATCCGACCAGTTTTCTACGAGTTCCCTGCAGATAGTAAAACACATGACCTTAGCTACGAGTTCCTCTGGGGTAGCTCCATGCTCATTGCTCCAGTTGTGCATCAGGTCTGTCATAGAAATTTATTATACCATATTTTTACGGATGTAATCGTTCAGGGAGCTACAAGTGTAAAAGCATACTTGCCTAAGGATGACTGGTACTCTGTGTTTGACTACCACTATGGGCAACGCGTATGGGAAGGGGAACAAATTTTCCCCGCTCCATGGGATTCGTTGATTCCTGTCTTTATTAGAGGTTATCATCTAGCAATATAATGTAGTGAAATGTAGCATTTATTTCAGGCGGGGCTATAATTCCTTGCCAAAAGCCCAACATAACCACAGATTACACTAGAAAAAATGCATTCAAGCTAGTAATCGTTCCAGGCACGCGCACAAGTAAGCCTTAGATTTTTTAAAATTCCATGCTTCTAGCGTAAGTGCGGCACTTTCAGGTCGTTCTCCTGATAGCGCTTACGGCTTCCTTTATTGGGACGATGGTGAGAGCATAGTCGAATCATTCGAAACGTATTTTTATTATCACTGGAGATTCACTTACAAACAAAGCGAGCTCGAGGCAACGCTGACAATAGAAATGGAACACGAGGCGGTGAGTACATAAATTTTTGAGGAAGTGGCTTTTTCCAAGAATTATTTGGAGAATAATCTACAAATTCCCACACTGGATACTGTGGAAATTTTCAACTACAAATATCCTATCAATTTGGAAAAGCAGAGATTTATGTTGAATGGCAACGAGGTTGGTAAGAAGCTTTTTATTCTATTTCCAAAGCGAAGCACCTTTATAGTAAACTCTTGAAAATCTGAAACACTTATGAAAAACGTATTTTCGCAAAATTTCTTCTACAAAAATACTTGCTTGGAAACTCTTCCGTTATTGAAAGGCATTAATGAGCATCTTTTTCTCGTCCGAAAAATTTGAATTTGGAGCATCCCAAAAGGTCGACTATTCTTGAATTTTCGCGTAAAAAAATCTGTCTCGTTTCATAAGATTCTGTGGATAACTTGACACAGCTCATTCAGAACAATGCATCCATATTTATCAAAAGACTTGACTATGTCATGCTTGGTCCTCGCACCTTTATTTGCCATGTTGAATAATCCTTTGCGCTTCAGGTAGAGATAGACAGGAAGGCTTCAAAATTCAATTTGGATGACAGAGTTCTTTTCATCACAAAGAAGAACTTTATTGACATGTCAGCGGAAAAGACTATGGAGCTATCATGGAAAACTGTAAGATTTCTCTTTTCTAAAATGTCGTGATCTCAAAAATATATAGGAGATCAGATATTTTGAAAATATCTGTTACAGAATGATGCCATCGATGCTTCTTCAATAGCAGAAGCTCAATTATGCCTGCTCTTCTCAAGTCTCATGCTTTTCAAACTTTTGTAATCTATAGAAGTTGTTCCGAGCTTTTATATATAAAAATTTTATATGATGACTGTAATTACAATAAACGGAATATGACTCAAAACATTATGTTGCTTATAAAAGTTGCTCACAACAAAAATCCCTTTCCCAACACATTCTTTAAAGTCTTGTAATCCATTATTCTGTAAATCAACATCTCTGAACAAGTGTACGAACAGAGGATAGCACAAAAGAGTTGTTAAACTATAAAGTATAGGATATATTGGATTGGAAAAAAATACTCAAATCTAAAAGGCACTCTCTCCTTTGTAACATGAATTAGAAATTTGATTTTCCTGCTTTTTCATTTTATTGGGGGTTGATCTCTTCATATTGTTAGAGATATTCGAAACCACTACTGATGCATCAGTACTACTTCTACCCACTTGCTCTTGAAGGCAATGTCTCATCAAAATTGAGGTTGCCCGGATCTTCACATATTATTCTGTAGGGCCCACCACCATGTAGGCCATTGCAACGAGCACGACTTGATTTGACCTCCTCTACGCTGAAAATCAAAATGGTCCGCACCGAACAATTTGATCCGCACAGCCAAATCCAGCTCTTTCTCTTTAAGCGTTACAGATTCTTCAATTTACGTTCACTCCAGGGTATTGCTGCCATTGTGGCGGAGGTTCAAATAAAGGCACAACTCGTTACTTTCTCGGCGTTACTTTCTCGAGGCTTTTAGAAAACGGTTTCCAACCATTTTATTCAATCATCCGCGTAAGGTTAGGCGGTTTGGAATGTCTTGTGAAATGCAGAAATCTCGCCCACCAAGATTTGCCTTCTACCTTTGTAGAAGAAGTCTTTTTGAGCCATCTGCCAAGAATAATGATGTGAGAAAAATAACGCTCCTCTTTTTGAACTGTATTATGTTCAGTATGTAGAAGATATCTTAGCTTTGTTCCCGTAACTCTACAAAATTGGCTCAACAGGTTGCAGCTTTGAGTGAAAGAAGGAAGCTTGGTTTGGGGTGTTTGTATAATTACAATTGCTAAAAATTCAGTTTGGCGCAAAAGCATTCGTGAGATTGAAACTTTCATTCTTGTGCCGCTTATACCGTATTCGGCTGTGATCTTTCACCTAATACTAACGGTTTTTTACCTTTTTCGAAAGTCCTAAACTCCCAAAATATGGTGTGTTGGTATGTGTAATTATGAACGTCTTTTCGGTCCTGAACTCTTCCACCGACGATTCAAAGTGCAGCACTCTTCTCGCATTATGTACTATTCTATCGCTCCATGTTTTGAGAATCGTGTTTTTCTGAAAAATTGTGTAAACTATTTTTGTCAATTCAATTGAAGGTAATGTCCTAAAAGAGTAAAGTTATGAAGAGAGTTGCAAAACTTAGTTTCCAACCTAGTATTTGGTAGTGCTTTCAGCGCAGACGCTCTCACATCAAACAAGAATTTATAAAAATGAAGTCTAAACATATAGATTATTCAGCTAAGGCTAGTTTGACTTCTAGAAGGCCTTGCTTAAGCAACACTTAAAAAATGCTGGTAATTAGTGCAGGAACTGAAACGGTCTCAAACACATCAAGAACAATATTGGTCGCGCCCATATGCCTTAAAGACAGTGTTCGGGCAAAAACTCGATTTCTAGCAACTTCACCTATCTTGTTATAGGCACGATAAATCCGAAATCCTGGTTGAAAGTCTGGAAAAGGCGAAAAAAGCTGTTTTCCAAAGCCGTACAATTAAAAATTAGGAGGAGTGGAACAGGTCTTGCCAAGACTGAGACGCGGAGTTGCTGCGAGCCTCTACGCTTTGAACTCTGGCGCCATGCGTTCTGCCGCAGAGCAGTAAAAATCCGTAGGTAGAGAGACCCGCATCCAGAACGTGAGCCTTCCACCTTTCCGACTGTATTTTTTGCTTCTGGTGATTATGGTCTCTCACTTGTGCGATGTCGTATATTAGGGGCCCACATTCGCTTGGCACTGATTTTTCAAGACCCCTAACATTGTCCGGACACTTCTTTTAAAGGCAGTGTCTCACCAAAATTTAGTTGCCGAGATTTTTGCATTTTGCAAGCCTGTCGGACCCTGTCTAGCACTGTATGGGCCTAAAATCGCACGAAGTTCCCAAAAACCTCGTTTTCTGGAGGCCCCGTGGAAGCAACATGGACGAGTTGTACCTTTCAACTTCAGGCTCAGCCACAGTGGCAGCAACAGAGGGAAGGTAGATGCCAAGTAGAGGAACAAGTTCAAACGCGTACGGGGGGAGACCGAAGGAGTCGTCCGCGCGTACCAAGTCGCTCTCCGCGTACCACTTTGAGCGAATTTTTCTCTGCGTGGAGGGGTCAAATTAAGCCGGACTTGTTGCAATGACCTATTTAGAGGTCCCTGTAACAGAGTATGTGAAGATCCGCGCGACCTCAACTTTGATGAGACACTGCCTTTAAGTTAAAGGCGCCATCCACCCAAAATGGGGTTGATGAGATTCTGTTGCCTAGCAGCGGTGGGGCCCCCAACTTGTATACTTGTTCAACTCGCGCAGTTAAAAGTCGCTTCTATAGCGAGGAAATTGCTTGAAAATTCGCTTGGATGACAGTTTTGTCACGCTGGCTCTTCCCGTTTGGGTGGGCGTGACGTTCGTCCCGCCCATCCGAGAGCACCCAACCAATCACCGTTGCGAAGAGCTCGCCCTGCGGGTTTAGGAATCGGGGTTTTTCGAGGTTTTGGCGGATTCTTGATTTGATATTCGAAATCAGGGATATGAAAAGGCCCTGGAACGGCAAGAACATGGAAGTCGAAAATTTGGGTGGACGGTGCCTATAAGGTGTGCTTAAGCTGTCTAGCGGTTCCCTTTTCCACTCTTAAATAATCATTATGTGCATAAAATTTCTAATTAACATGGTATGTACATAAAAATCATTACAGGTTAAAATCATTACCAGGTAGCTCCCTTCGACCTTTACTTCGACAATAGATGTGATTCGTGTATGAATATAAAACAGTCTTTTGCACTTCACCTTCTATACATATCAAAGAACTCGGCCTCTTTGTCTCAAATTCATTAAAATAAGATGAATGTATGCTCTGAGTCATGTGTCCTTGATCTTCCTCCTCAGTCAAGACGTGCGTAGTTTGCTGCACTAAATTCTTCATGCTCCTGTCTGACCCGCTATTTTGAGGGTGTGTGGGTTGACTATAAAATGCTCAAAATGAATAACATTGTGTGCAAAATGTGAAAGAGTGCATCTGTGGAGAACCAGCTGAGGACAAACCGTACTATAATGACATGCAAAATTTTGAGTTTCGCGAAATCCAAGCATTTGTTGAGGTACACTTCAGCATACAGAAACTAGCTTAAAATCAAACTCTCATCGATAACAACGAATACGCGTGATATTTATGTATATCATTTCTTTCGCTCCTAAAACTACAGAAAAAAAGTTTTGCATTTAACTAGGAATAGATAAACTGTCCGATGTTTTATAAGATAGTATCGACATAGACTGTTCTATAGATCAACAGCCCTCAGCGTGCCAAAAAAAGCCTATGAAATTTTCAATGGGGAGAAGCTGCCGCGACGCAATAGGGTACATGTGCAGAACGTGAAGAATTGGATATCTAGCAAGGGGTATAAGTTTATTTATTGCTGAATATCAGTGAGAACACATTCTGTAAGTTGTTGTAAGAGTTCCGTCCAGATAAGCTTAAGAAAAAGAAATTTTCACTGTCAATGCCCTGATTTGAACTTGATGTAGTTTTTGATTCAAAATTTGAGGAAGAAAAAGAAAGATGCCCGAATAGTGCGGCTAGGCTTAGGTTGTGATACTAAAGGAATCAACCCGAAAAAAATCTACATAAGCTTCCTCCGACCTATCTTGCATATCGTAACAAAAAAATCACTTGCGAAAACTTTTTGAGGCAGTTTGGAGCGGCAGCATTTTCAGCTCCCTGTGTTATGCTTCTATCACGCCTTAAGAGATCCTGGGGCTAGATTTTTTCCAAATTTCTGCTGCAATTGTAAGTGAATTTAAAAATGCTATAAAACCAGGCACAAGTTGTCATCTTTACACACTACAGGTTGCGTCAAAAGTCTAATAGCTAGTAATTTTTCTGATAAAATCAGAAGGAAAGCACCTAGAAGCAAGAAATTGTGTGCACACTTAAATCAAATAACTACAAATATAGCTCAGTCCTCAAATCTTCAGCGCAGCCCTTCAAAATCTTGGCCAGCCCACGTGTCAAGGCACGCTGGTAGCCGCAATAAAGTTCGTTTGATGCTTTTCCGTTATCCAAGCCCTTTAAAAAAAGGAGATTATTCCTGTCCTTGGACCAAATTTTAGTAACTTCACAAAACGAGAAGTCAGCCTCCTGCCACGTGTCAACAAAATTGACTTGTCATCTGAATATTTAACAGGTTTTACCAAGAGTTTGTTTAGCTTACCTACCAATGTAAATTCAATCATTTTCAATTCAATAATGAACCCGTCAATAGTTCCCATGGATGAGCTTCAACGTGAAGACATTTTGTGTTTAATAAACACATGGACTTTCTCCAAAGTAGAGAAATGAGACATTGTTTTATCATCTAAACGACGAAACAATAGATAGCCAGGTACTTCAAGCCATCTATCAATGTAAGTTCAATGTGTTTGATTCAATAATGGCCTCATTTCAATCAAAAATTTCATAAATGAGCTTTAACGCTATGAAAATGGCATCTTGTGTTCAATAAACATATTAAGACCCGTATGCACTTACATGCCAGCGGGGACGGGAGGGGATTCGAGAGGGGACGCGCCATATCTGGCCACACTAGGTATCTTCCTTCTTTTATCATTTGGTTTAAGAAAGTTTTCATACCCTAACACCTGCGCACGTACTGCCAGAGTGCTGTCGTTTAAGATCAGTTTCTCACTATTTTGGATCCACAGGAAATTAGCATTCATTTCCAAAGTCATTTAGGTAAATATTTTCCCAAAAACTCAATGAAAACGATGTAAAATGTGCTGAGGATATGACATGG